CCGCAGTCATTTCGGCCCACAGCGAGAAGGATCAAGAGGCCAGAAATATAAGCAGAAGGATGGAAGAGATGATGGACATCTTGATGGTTACATTAAGCGCTATGGGAATAATCTTCCTGATCCAACAAGTGATTAAAGGATGGAAGATTTTACACCAAAAGATCAGGTCAATGAGAGGCGAAGAACTGGTGTATGTTTATCCGACAAGACATGTCTATCATAAGCGCACGTGCAAGTGGTGGAGCCCGCCACCTGCTACTCAAGAGATGTCTATCGAAGCTGCAGTGAATAAAGGCTGCAGATCATGCTGGGTATGCCACCCAGCGGACAGAGTAAGCCAACGTATTGAAAGACCTTCAAGTTCGTCAAGGACCACAGAAGTATGCACAGCAATATGCGACTGGTGCGGTGAAAGTCGTTGCGCACGCAACAAAAGAAGTCATCACACCCACAGTTGCGTGGAATGCATCCGCGATCACGCGGAGGAGAACTGGCGACAGTGGTACGATGTTGATGAAGGTGAAGAGGACCACGGAGAAGAGGATACACAAGGGCAAGCACCAAGTGATTACCAACGACCAGAAGAGCTCACAGATCAAGAATGGGCTAATATGACACTAGCTCAAAGAAGAGAGGCCCTAGCAACTATGGGGCAGCAGCAGCTGGGAGATACAGCACGCTTAACCTACGAGGCGTTCGTCGCCGGATCCCAGCAGAGGGCTGAAGAGCTTACCCCAGCGTTGCTTCAGGAGTTAAGAGAAGAGCAAGAGGAAGAAGATAGAGGCCTCGATCATCGCCGAGGTCAATCAAGTGAAGGATTAAGGTTCAGATCCAACAGTGACAATAGTGATGACGAAAGATCAAGACTCAGACGTCGAGTTCAAGCTGTAAGTGCTACAATGGCTCCGGGAACGCCAGACAGCACAGAAGCAAGGACCCAAGGGCCCCTGGGATTTGGTGAAATGTAGATGCGGTTTAAAGCGAGAAAAGAAGGAGAAGGAAAAGGTGTGAGGGCGAAGCGATCGCCCATGGCAAAAGAGAGTGAGGGCGATTTCCAGCCCAAGGCAAGCAGTGAGGGCGGAACAGCCGCCCAAGGCAAATCGTTTGTTTCACAACCTTTGAAAGAAGTGTGGCAAAGATGGAAAGGAAAGATCAAAAGCCACTGCCAAGTGAAGCGGCATACGACAATCACTACGAGCACAACGATGGTTTAAAAGACCAAACACGTGAGGCTTTTTCAAGCCAGAACTGAAAAGAGGCAAAAGGCCTAAAGAGCGGTTAAGTCAAAAGAAATCCGCCAAAGTTCCAATTGCCGAAGAGCGATCCTTGTGCTCGCTCAAGCTTGTTTTTATGGAACAACAACGCGGTTTTTGTGCAACTCTGCTTAATTGCGTTTGACATTCCTTTCACAACAGCTGTCGGCCCAAAGAGCAACATGTCGAAGCACATGTTTTCGCAAAGACTTTACCAACGTGGGTTGTGTTTCATATACATGGTGAGTCACTTGATTCACGTGGTTTTTCAGCACGCATTGTCTTGAAATTGGCAGTTTTATCTCTCGCATACAACAACACCTTCACGTGAGGGTGCATGGGCCGTGTACCCCCCTGAGGGGTCATCGCATGCAGCCGGACTCTGAGTCCGAGACCAGTGCCGGTGGCTCCTTTGTGCACAGGGAAGACCTTCGCTTGTTAGAAGAGTCACTTCAAGATCAGCTAGCTTCACTTCAGTTGCGTGTGACGGTCCTGGAGAGCCGCCTGCACCCGACCAACTTAGAGGGCACTCTTGTGGCACCCAGTGTTTCCAGTGCTGAGTCTGAGTTTGAGCCCAGCCTGGAGGATCTCGTGGCAGCTTATCCGAGAGTAATCCCGCGTGTGTGGGGCTTCTTGCAAGTTTCCGATCGCCGCGCATTGCTTGTGGCCTCTTGGTACATGCATACAGGGGCTAGACGAGAGTTGCTTAAAGACGCCTTTTTGCACGGATGGCCTTGCCCATCGCCGCCTCGAGCCCTAATCCTTCCCGAGAGTCCAAGTGTGATTCAGTGGATGCAGAATTTGTTTCCTCGCTGCCTGGCGCTGATGCAGGTACTCCCTTAACTGCGAGAGTGCCGGAACTTAGTGGTGCCTGCACATTGGGGGTTAGTGGTTCTACAGACATGCTGGAACCAGCTCCCGCCTCGGCGGGCCACCGGCACACGGATTCAGCATTCGAGCGTCATTTGCAAGGGTTGCTTGAAAGTGTGGACTCTCCTGCAAAGTCGTCGGTAGGCTCATTTGAGTTAGTCGAGACTCATGCGCCAGTGATTGTGAAGCGGTATAAGAACAGCAGGCATTCGCATTCAGTGCAGACTGTGCATGGAAGTTTGCCTGGCCCAGTGCTTCCTTTGCAAGGGGTGCCACGACCACCCAAGTCAATGCCGGGGCCCAGTAGGCTCAGCGAGCCCAGTCGTAGGCCTTTCGTGCCCAGGGTTGCAGCGGCACCGCTGCATAATCCGGTTCCACGCCCGAGGTTTAGTCGTGTAGGCTGGGATTGTAGTCCTTTACCAAACCCGGTTCCCCTCAGGGCAGCTGATTATCACAGGCCTCGGCCCCTGGAGACGTCCAATACATTGGCGATCAGTGCACCTTCCGCTGTCTTGCACAGGGAGCGGACCCCGGCCCCCAGGGGTTGTGCTAAGGCTAGTGTAGATTTTGGTTTGGGTGTCCGTTTTCCGGCTCAGTCGCATAATGCACCGGCTCTGGGTTTCAGCTCGATCAATGACGGTCATGCCAAGCAGTTTGAGCAGGGCAAGATCATCTGGGAAATGCTCAAGCCCCGACTGCTCCCGATCTCAGATTGCCTTGCCGACTTGTCAGGTTCCTTTCACGGCGACGTGCTTGAGCACCGCATCCTTAGCAGTGTGGCGGACACGACTCTTGTGCGTTACCTCAGTGCTGTCAGGCATTTCATTGAAGCTTTGGAGTGCTTGGGGGTGCCGGTGTCGGATAAGGTCCGTCAAGTGGATGTTGCTGACGCTTTGCTGGTCATGCATAAAGGGGGCAGCCAAGTAGGCAACAGTCTTAAGGCAATCCGCTGGGCACGCAAGGCACTCGCTCTCCGCCTTCCGGACTTGTATTCAGGCATCATGTTGAACATCTCCGGTAAAATCGAGGCGGACCGCAAGGAAGCGCTTCCGCTTCCCATGTTTGTCCTGGGACTTCTTGAAAGGAGCTTGCTTTTGGCTGAGGGTTCTGTGCAGCATCGCTTATTCATAGGCGCGGTATTGGTCTGTTGTTGGAGCAGTCTTCGTCTCAGCGATGCTCAACACACCAAATGGACTTCGCTTCAGTCCGGATCCTGGTGCCTGCGTGGAGTGAACTTCCGCACTAAAGTTAGTCGTAGAGGGGTCCCTTTCGGTCTGATAACACAGGGCATTTATGGTTTCAAGCGCGAGTTCACACGCACTTGGGTGGCCAAGTACCTCTCTCTCTTGGGCGAGGAATGGGATGCAGTGGTAAATCGTTTTGGAGATGTGACGCCAGACTGTCTGTTCTTCAGAAGCACCGATTCTGAGTTTGCTCCCATGTCATACGGGGAAGTTCTGTCGGCTCTCCGATGCACCTTGATTTCTCTCGGTTTGAGTGCTGAGGAAGCGCGTGACTTCACTGTGCACAGCATGAAAGCATGTTTACTTGCTGTGATGGCACAGAGAGGCTTCAGAACCTCGCGCCGTGAAGCGCAAGGACACCACCAACCGTCGGGCCGGAGTGCCCGACTTTATTCACGGGACGATATCTGGCCGGCACTAGAAGCTCAACGAGCCCTTGTGCAATCGCTTCGCTCGGGGTGGATGCCGAGTACGCCTCTGGGGCGTGGGGGACAACATCCTACCCCCCAACGACCTTTTGTTCATGTGAATGTCACTAGCGAACCATCGCCCGTGCACCCCAGATTTCCGCTTTTGGATGTGTTTCCACCTGAGGTCTCTCATGAGGCGGTGCAGGTCGATAGGGAAGAGTCCCAGTCAGCAGGCAGCAGTGATATGCAGGCTCCTACGTTGGAGGCCGCTTTATCTTCATCCAGTGAGTCGGAGCAGGATGCCGGCACTTCAGGTTCGGTCCGGCGTTCAAGTGGGGCCATCTCAGCCACTTTCCAGCCTGAGGAGTGCGATGAATTCTTGTTCTTGCAGGGGGCATCGGGTACAGTCCATGTGGCAGCGCCTCAGGAAGGTGCATCGGGAACGGCAGCTTATGCTGAAGGGCACACTGCCCACCTTAGGCCACGGTGTGGAGCCTTGGCCAAGTCTTTTGCAGTTTTGACCACCGTGCCGGTAGGGGCACGCCTTTGCATGCACGTCGCATGCAGGCGAGTTTTGGAGCTTTAGAGGCTGTTTGGGCAGCACGCGGAAAATCAAATCGCTATTGCATACTTGTAACACTGAAGCGCTTGAGAAATGCAGCATGCAAGATTGGAACTGAACATGTTTCGTGGCAGCCTTAACGGGCCCTCAGCTCGGCGGCGGGATCAAGCTGGACTTGACGAGCAGGCGGGGAAACTGCTTTCCATTCGTGTCAAGATTGGCCGGGAGTCGATCCGCACGTGTGTGCTCGCCGCGGCAATGCGGCGTTTAGGTTCGGTATGGGCTTGCCGATTTGCTGCTGGGTTTCAGTCGACTGCAATATGTGGGTCTGAAATCCAGGCTGTGGAAAGGGCTGTGCATGGTTCGCGCAGCAGGTGTAGGCGCCAGTGCTGGCAGATCTTATCGCACGTGTGTGCCAGTCCGCCATCCAAGACGGTCGTGAAATGCGGAGGGCGACCCCCCCCCTAGTTGGCTTACCTTCAAGGCAAGTGCATGGCGATTGCAGCCAGTGGGATATGATACTACCGGGCATAAAAGTCCTTCGGAAACCTGGCGGCCGTGGGGCCAATCGCACGTGTGTGCAGCGGGCAAGGGCTACTGCTGCCGATCGTTCATCGATTGCAATTTCACCCTGTCTGTCTGCACCTCGCTTCAGGCTTCCATGGCTAACGTGGATGCGGCGCTTTTGGAGCTTGCCGTTGCATGCAGAGTTCCGCAGGAGTTCCACTTCGTGCTGGATGGTTATGACGTGCCGCTGTTTGGTTGCCTAGCAGCCTCACACTCGGAAGTGGATGCCTCAATCGAGGTACTGCTGGAGGGGGCCGCCTTGCCTGCGGAATCCACCGAGAAACTACGTCTTATGTCATCCTTCCGCCTGCTGTTTCAGAAGTGTCAGTCTGTGACAGCAACTGGTTCGAATGCGGGGAGTGCGGCCCACGCAAGCATGACATCCAATGCAGCTTCATGGGTAGACTCTTTCCCGGCAAAATTGACAGGTGAGGAGGTGGTGAAGCTCCGCCTTGAGTTCGAGGCTTCGTACCCAGGAGAGGTCTTGGATGCGGATAACACCCCAGGTCACCGGCTCTTAGCGTTGGCCGCAAAGCTTGTTAAACCAGGTGAGATGCGGTGGGTGGCTTGGAAACATCGGATGAGCAAATCCCAAGAGGAGGCCTTCGCTCTGCGCAGGCCGGCAAAAATCCCGAGGTTGGAAGAGCTGGTGTACGACGAGATACCTTCAAGAGAGCTACCTCAAGGCCAAGTCGGCATGACCTTCCTGCAGGGCATCTTGGGTCTTTTGTGCATATCACTCGCCTTCGTTAAGGCTAAGGGGGCTCACCTTCAGAGCTTGCGGCTTTACGAGCGCAAGTTCATCCGCTTGGCCTGCCAACGGCATGAGGCATCTTCAGGGCTCCGAAGCCCGAATATGGAGGAGCTTCAGGCGGCAGACAAGCACATTTGGGGCTTGATTGCAGATTTGGTCAATGTCCACAAGTGGAGCCTGAATGATGCACTGACGGAGGTAGTGCAAGTTCGCGGTGACTTGGCGGCCATGTTGCAGCCTCGCAGCCAAATCTTGAAGATCAACAGGCAGCCTTTCAAAGGCAATGGCAAGGGGAAAGACTCCCCTGGTGGTAGGAACGGCAAGGGCAACAAGGGCAATGGTACCAACAGTCAACGCTGGATGCTTTCTTACACGGACTCCAAGGGTCAACGCAAACAATTGTGCCGTGGTTACAGTTCTCCAGACGGATGCAAGTTTGAAAACTGTAAATTCGAGCATCTCTGCCCGGTTCCCGGCCCAGATGGAAAGCCATGCCTAGGGAAGCATCCTGCTTTCCAACACCGCAAAATCTGAAGGTCACAGTCGGTGGCGGAACACTCCGATGTGCGGACTGGTCGATCCAGCGAACTTCCGTCGCCGACTTCAGCGGATTTTTCTTGGGAAGCTTGCTTGGCTATCCTGCAGAATCACTGTTTGGGTGATGCTCCTCTGTACCGAGATACAGTTCTTGCAGGGGCGCGATCTCGAGCACAATATTTCAATTTTGGGGCGAGAGCGGGCTCCAATGCGGGGCTTTGCAAAGGCACAGCAGAAAACGCAGAATTCGTTGAGTACCTGAACATTTTCCTTCGGCAGATTTTTCCAGACGGCACATGGTCCAGCTTCTGTGTCAGTCACAATGAGTTCGCTCACATCCACGTGGATAAGAACCTTCCGGGATCTTTGAATTATTCATTCAGTGTTGGGGCTTTCGAGAAAGGCGGTTTGTGGGTGGCTTTGCCGCCAGACGAACTTCCTCACCTTCCACGAGTGTCTCCGCCGGACACATCAGCTGATGCCTCGCTGTTGGGTTGCATAGTTCAGACCAGGAGGTGTGGTTTTTCTTGGGACGGCCGCATTGCTCATTGTTCGGAGCCATGGGTTGGTGACAGATGGGTCGTGACGGCCTATACTTCTTGCACTTGGGGTTCAATGACGGACCCGGATCTTCGTTCTTTACGTGATCTTATGTTTCCGCTACCAGGCGACGCCGTGGTGATCGACGAGGCGGAGTGTGAGTCTCGGGCTGCCAAAATTGATCAGGCACAGCTGGGGCTACCAGTTGCAATCATGCCTCCCGACCTTGATGCAATTCGAGGAAATCTTTTTCTGGAGATCTGTTCTGGGCCAAATCGGCCTCTGTCTGCTGCCCTCCTGGCGAAAGGTGTTTCAGTGCTCTCGATCGACATTCTTTTGCATGAAGATCACAACTTGTTGAATGACTCCACTTATGACAGCCTCATGCGGCTATGCTACAGCGGACAGGTGAATCTGGCACACGCCTCTCCACCTTGCACGGAGTACTCCAGGCTCAAGCTCCGGGCAGATGGTGGCCCCAGGGCGCTTCGCACTCCAGAACACATGTCTGGCGTTCCTGATTTGAGTCCGTCAGAGCGGCAACGTCTGGAGCAAAGTAAAAAAGTGCTGGTTCGTACAATCAATTTGCTGCTGGCAACATACTGCGCTGGAGGGCATGTTAGTCTGGAAAACCCTTTGAACAGCATGGCATGGTTGGAGCAGGAAGTCCGGGAATTTCTGCAACACATCAACGCGGACCTGAACTGTGTGGCTGCTTGTGGCTATGGTATGGATGTACTGAAGCAGTGGTGTTTCGCATGCAGTTTTCGGGACCTCCAGCAGATTGCATGTGGTTGTCAACACGATCCTCAGTCGCATGCACAGGTGGCAGGGATTGTTGACAAAGACGGCGTTTACGCTTCCAGAGCCACTTCGGAGTTTCCGGCACAGCTCGCGCAGGCCTATGCAGAAGCTGTACACCATTTCTCTTGAACAGGTTAGGTTTCTTCGAACCCACAAAACCAAGGAGGAACTTCCCCGAAGCACACAGGACGGAGGTGGGATCTACTCAATGCCGGATTGGAGTTTTCCTCCAAGCGGCTGCAAGGACCTCCTAGGGGGAGTGCGTAAGCAGCTTGTGGAGTACCTTTTCCACATCAGGGCCCCATTGCGATTGCGCGCCCATGTGGAGTCCGAAAGCGAACTCCCGCTGTTCACAGAGACTGAGGTTCGGCAGTTCAGGGAGATCTGGCAGCAATGGTTCATGCAACAGGGTGTGCAATCAATCGATTGGAGCGTGGCTGAACATCAACCTTACTCGCTGCTGGCCTTACAAAGCCTCTCTCGAGCCTTGCAAGACAGAGATGATGAACTCTTTCCAGCATTGATTGCGGGTGTTCCCACAGGTTTCTTCTCGGATATCCCGCCCAGTCACGTTTTCATTCCGAAGCACAAGGATGACTCTTCCGAAGCCCCGGCGGAACTTGTGATCTGTGATCGCAACTGGAAGGGGGCCAGAGAAAATCCTAAAATCCTTTCGGAATTGATTGATAAGGAGATTTCAGAGGGTTTTCTTGAAGAGCTTGATCTTGCTTCAGCTCAGCAGCGCTGGGAGAACATCGCAGTTGCCAAGCTCAACATGGTTTTGGCGGACAATCGCAAGCCGCGCTTAATCATGGATGGGACGGTTTCTGGGGTCAACTCCTCTTGCTTCTTGAATGAGCGATACTGTCTGCCCTCGCTTAAAGACGTACGCTCTGCATTCCCACTTCGCATGAACAACGAGGACTTGTCAGCTTTCAGCTTGGACATTCGCGCGGCTCACAAAACGATCCGCATTCGGGAGAAGGACCGTGGATTGGCGGGGATCAAGCTTGAGGACGGTCGACACCTTTGGTACCGAGTTTGCCCATTCGGCACAGGTTTCAGTGCTCTGTGGTGGGCACGATTGTCTGCTTTCATGATCCGAACTTTTCATCTCTTGATTTGGTTGTGTCACGCTTTAGGCATCTTTGTCGACGACCTATTGCTGTGGCAAGGCGACAAAGCAATTGAGATTTCAGGCTGCCTCATCCTCAGCTTTTGCCAAGCTTACAATGTGCCACTATCGTGGCACAAACTGCAGTGCGGGTACAGAGTGAAGTGGATAGGATGGCTATTCAATTTCAGATCAGGAACTTTCAGTCTGCCAACCGACAAGATTGAGAAGATTCTTCGTTCAGTGCGGGTCGTTCTGCGGCCAGGCAACGTGGATCGCTGCGATCTTGAAAAAACGGTGGGTTTGCTTCAGTGGGTGAGCCAGATTTCTCCTGAACTCCGCCCCTGGATGGCATTCTTGTATTCGGATCTGCATAGACCGGTGGCCACAAACCATCATGTGGATTCTGGCGAGTGGCACTTGCTGCATGAGTACTTGGATGATAACCTGCGGTTCACCAGCCAACCTCCAGGCACAGCTATTCCACGAGGTGCTCGTCTTTTGTCTGCCAGGCACATTGAGCTGCACTCCAAGCAGGACTTGAACAAAGTTCCTCTGACTTCACGTCGGATATATATGCGTATCTCTGATCCCAAACATCCCAAGCGCAAACTTTCGGAATGCAGCCGCAAGTTCATGGAATTTTGGGAATCGTGGTGCATGCGCAGCCCATTGGAACAGTGCCTGCACCTTCCTCCACGGAGCATTGCCTGTACCTTGGCAGCGGATGCTTGTGCTCAGGGTTCCTCTATCGGGATAAGTGGTTTTCTGCGTGTTGAGGGCTCACCCGTCTTGTGGTTCAGCGAACGATTTGAGAAGTCGGATTTCGATGACTTGAACATCCCTCTCGACAACAACACTCAGAAGAATATTGGATGCTGGGAGCTCCTGGCTCAAATTGCTCTGGCACTTCTTTTTGCAGAGACTTGCCCGGGCGGACGATGCAGGCTTCAGCTGCGTACTTTCTGCGACAATGCCTCTGCGCAGGCATCGGCAAATCGTTTGATGACTACGTCATCCCCGCTATGCCTTTTCGCTCAGCAACTGGCTTTTGTCGCTTTTAGACACAGGATTACCCTGGACGTGCACCACATTTCGGGCTTCCGCAACGAGGAGGCAGATTACCTGTCCCGCTGGAACGGCACGGACCCTCTGTTGCCCGAGTTCGCTGAAACCTTTCGCTATCGCTACCCAGTCAAGCGCATGTGGCAGTCTGACCATGATGTGAGAGTGTTCCCGAAGGGCACTCGGCTCCTGTGGAGTCCTCCGTGAAGGCAGCCATTCAGTCGTAGCACGATTTCAATTGGGGCTCTTGTCCCAGCGCTCCTCCTTCTTTGGCTGTGGCAGTTCTTAAGGGGGGATGCATCTTGATAAGTCCGATACTTCGGTATCTTACTTACTCGAGTGCTTTCCACCACAGCCAAAAAGAAGGAGGGGTCCGAGTGCAGTCTCTGTAGTTCGTTCGCGAGACCGGATGAACATTTCATAAATTCATACTTTATATTTTATTGATTCTGGAATACATATCCTCGGTTTTCCCTTATGATATTTGAAAGCTTTGCTTACCGAATATCTGGTCCATTTCCATCGTGGTGTGCCGACGGCTGTTGTGAAATATAAAACGATCCTTGTGCTCGCTCAAGCTTGTTTTTATGGAACAACAACGCGGTTTTTGTGCAACTCTGCTTAATTGCGTTTGACATTCCTTTCACAACAGCTGTCGGCCCAAAGAGCAACATGTCGAAGCACATGTTTTCGCAAAGACCCCACCCTCCCACCCATGAGCAGTGTGTGCTCATGTGGTCTTTGTTGCATGCGTGGTACTCTTTCTATCTCACGCCTATCGGGCATAACTGTGTGTGCGCCAAACTTTTCTCCAGGCTTCACATGTGTGAGGCGGTTGGACTCACGAAGATTGTTTGGTACAACCCTCGGTGTGCGTCACCCTAGTCACTGAGTCGGCTCTGTGAGTCACAAGTGCTGGTGATTACGAGTTCTCTTGGCGAGAGCTTGTGGTTCACTTGGCACCCTTTTCCAGTGGTGCATCAGGATGCTATCCTCCCTTCCAGGATGTATGTTGGTGTTTATGTTTCCTTACTGGTAGTTGCTTACAACGCTGTTTACGACGGAAGGGGGGGGATGCATCTTGATAAGTCCGATACTTCGGTGTCTTACTTACTCGAGTGCTTTCCACCACAGCCAAAAAGAAGGAGGGGTCCGAGTGCAGTCTCTGTAGTTCGTTCGCGAGACCGGATGAATATTTCATAAATTCATACTTTATATTTTATTGATTCTGGAATACATATCCTCGGTTTTCCCTTATGATATTTGAAAGCTTTGCTTACCGAATATCTGGTCCATTTCCATCGTGGTGTGCCGACGGCTGTTGTGAAATATAAAACAAGTATGGACCTACATCGCGAAGCGCGACGTGAAGAAAAAGTGAGTGTGCATTTAGATTCGGAGTGAGTCCATGCCAATCGTGTTTGGAAATCGACTCAAATCTGTTATAGGACATCTGAAGAATGAGGATGAAGAAGAAAACGAGAAGGCTAAAGATGTTCAACAAAGTGCTAAAGCAAGCGTGCGAGAAGAGAAGATTAAGCTCAATAGAGCATGTGACAAGAGTGGAAAAGTTTCACAAGGATCACGTTACACGACAAAGCTGTGTACGTGATGAGGGCGTAACAGAAAGTTCAATTTTCCCTCATGCCCAATTTAGCACGTTTCACTGCGTATCTCCGTAGGTCAAACGTAGGCTCAAGCACAGCCGACAGCAGAGTTGGAGAGTGAGAAAAGTATCCAAGCTCGTGCCGTGTTGTAAGAAGTATACTGGTAAAAGGGTTTAAACTTTCAGAGTCGCTACGAGACCTCACACAATCTTGGCACGGACGTGCGCAATCGTCGAGGTCTACATGAGATTTGTGGCATTAGGCTGCAAGACATGGGCCCCGAGAACAGCCAGCGTGTGGTGGATCTCATTGAAGAGATGTCAGACCATCGTGACCGTCGACTACCTCAACGAGGAGATCGTGCAAGTTACGCTTACAATCCAGCTACTGACCAGTGGGATAATCCAGGCTACCAATCCATAGGAGGCGGTAGACCGATCCGATGCGGTATCCTTGATCTGATCCCGACCAAAGGTGCACGATTCATCAACTCCAGATGGGATATCGTGGACGAAGTCGTGATTCGCAACCTCACCCACCAACGAAGGAAGAATGCTGAATGGGCGCTATCATGCATACAATCTGACTTACGCCACAGACTCGCAAGGCGTCCAGGATCAGAATGGCTTGATGGTAAATGCCGAGTGGCGTTCACGGACATCATCAGATGTGATGAGGGTGGATGGGTGCTTGTCGAAGAGTTGGTCAGAAAAGAGGAGCTCTGGACCCACAGCAGCAGGGGCATTACGGAAGGAATCTCTGGACAAGATTACGATCAAAGGAAGAGGGCCTACAATGAGAGATTGCAGTTGCTGTTCCAAGGGAACATGTTGGCGGCCACAAAGCGGTACAAAGCCAAAATCAGACTGCAGTTTCTGGGTGTAAGAGTGAAGGAACCCGGAGGTGGGCCTCTCGGTGCGGTCGACACACAGAGCTTGGTTTCCGTGCAAGATCAGATCGCCGAGATCCAGTCGAATACCCACACCAGATTCAACCAACAATACTTGCGACCATGCAACGGTTGGGTCAAACCATGGGCTGTTCGTGCTACAAGTGGTCACTCTACGCACTCCAACCCTCACAACAACTTGCTTCAGTTGGACAAGGACAGGTTCGCAATCTCTCCGTCGATGAGCCTTCTGGGCCGTCTGGGAGGAGCATTCCACGCGACAGCATGCCTTGGACTCTATTGTTCTACATGGCATTGTGCCTGGTTCGGAGGACCCCGACGGGGACTTCGACCAGCGCCGTCAATTCAGGGACGACAGAGGCGGTCGACTCCACAGCTACTGGGGGGTATTTGCACCGTTTGAAGGCAGGACTGCTGCTACAACGAAGACTCGAGTACACGGGCCAGAGGCGAAACGCATGCCGCTCGTGGTTCTCCACGTCCCCTCGACAGACCTCGCCCGAGAAGGAGGACGAATTACCGATAGTGGCGTCATCATCATTGGACGTACGGTGCCGTTCTCATTCGTCAAGGAAGCATGGTTTTGCGTTCCGAATCCTCGAGATTCACATTCGTTCGCGTTGGTGGAGAAGATCTATGATGAAAGATTGGAAAACGAGATGGTGTTGGAGTACAGTGGATCTCCATTGCTCCCTGAATTCGAGCGGTACAGGACGCCGGGTAAGATCATGGAATTGCTCTGCGACATGCCCCGAGGTCCTCACGATGCAAACAAGGAGCAGATGATGCGTTCTCGAAACCCACAGGGAGAACACCGTCCGGCACCACCACATGAACCAAGCCATCAAGTTTGTCATCAAACATTGGCGACCCGAAGATCTACGACGAGATGAAGATGGCAGGAGAATGAGGGTGTGCCCGGCATGTTACAACATCGTCCCGGCATGCTTCACCCGATGCACATCGTGCTTGTCGCAGTTCATCTCATGCGGTCATTACCAAGGCACCTCACAACGGGAGACTCCTACGGAGATCCCTAGTGAATTCATTGCTCAGACAATGGAGGCTGCAGCAGCAGCGGTACCCGAAACGACTGCAGAGGAACAAGAAGCCATGGAGACGGAGACGGTGGCAGAGCCCGAAGGCACCCCCGACATGTCCATCATCGGAGAAGAAGATGCAGAACAGGAACCAGATGAGGAGATGGACATTGAGCAGGTGGAGGACTTTGACGATGAGGTACCAGAAAATTGGCCTTGGAACGTCGACCCGTCGTCATCGCTGGTCACTCTTTAAACATCGACCCTGAACTGCAGATTGCTCGCACTGCCATGCAGCCGCCCTACTACCACAACAAGAGGAACGCCCATTGCATCGACGCAAACATGGCGGCTCTTTCCTACATGGCGTTTGTGGTCTGCAGGTGCATTCACAAAACATGGTCAGGTTTGGCAAAGTGGGCAACAATGCCATTGTTCCAGATGAAAGAGAATTTCTCCCTTGGTCAACGCTATGACGCTTGGGAAGTGGGACGAACTGGCAGAAGTTGACCGTGAAACTGGAGTGAGCAGGGAAGTGTCCGATGAGGAAATCATTCGGTATGCCAAGGAAAGGGAAGCCACCAAACCGTCCAAAGATGCGTATGATCCCAACGGGACTTACACTCTTAAGCGCTTCCGAACGAACCAGTTGATCTCATTGTTGATCCGAGGTGCAAACATGATGGGAATCGGCAGGGACGTATTCGACCCAAGCACCTTCTTGAAGCGCGAAAATGACGTGAAGGTCATGCACTTCTGTTGCTTGAACGTTCTTTGCGAACTCATTCCCATGGTGACAGGACACTCGCAATTTTCTGTTCTTCGACCGTCACCAACTGGACCAGTGGAGTTTCTATATATCGACCCGGTAGGTATCCTTTTGATGCATGCGGACTATTCCGTGCAGACCATCGGATTACTTGTTGACCACAACATCCAGATGCCATCACACTTCATGAAGAAGCTCACTGCCAGCAGGGTCGAAAGAGAGAGCTGAACCCCAATGCACGTCGTCCTGAAGCACTACGATCCTTGTGCTTGCTCAAGCTTGTTTTTATGGAACAACAACGCGGTTTTTATGCAACTCCCTTTGCTTGCGGTTGACACTCCTTTCACAACAGCTGTCGGCCCAATGAGCAACATGTCGAAGCACATGTTTTCGCAAAGACTTTACCAACGTGGGTGGTGTTTTCACGAACATGATGAGTCATTTGATTCACGTGGTTTTCAACATGCATTATTTTGCAATTGGTAGTTTTATCTCTCTCACACAACAACACCTTCACGTGAGGGTGCATGGGCCGTGGATCCCCCTGAGGGGTCATCGCATGCAGCCGGATTCTGAGTCCGAGACCAGTGCTGGTGGCTCCTTTGTGCACAGAGACGACCTTCGCCTGTTAGAAGAGTCATTTCAAGATCAGCTAGCTTCGCTTCAGTTGCGTGTGACGGTCCTGGAGAGCCGCCTGCGCCCGATCAACTTAGAGGGAGCTCTTGCCGCACCCAGTGTTTCCAGTGCTGAGTCTGAGTTTGAGCCCAGCCTGGAGGATCTCGTGGCAGCTTATCCGAGAGTCATCCCGCGTGTGTGGGGCTTCTTGCAAGCTTCAGATCGCCGCGCATTGCTCGTGGCCTCTTGGTACATACATACAGGTGCTAGACGAGAGTTGCTTAAAGACGCCTTTTTGCACGGATGGCCCTGCCCATCACCTCCTCGAGCCCTACGCCTTCCCGAGAGCCCGAGTGTGATTCAGTGGATGCAGAATTGGTTTCATCGTTGCCGGGCGCTGATGCAGGTACTCCCTTAACTGCGAGAGTGCCGGAACTGAGTGGTTCTGCAGACCTGCTGGAACCAGATCCCGCCTCGGCGGGACACCAGCACACAGATTCAGCATTCGAGCGTCATTTGCAAGGGTTGCTTGAAAGTGTGGACTCTCCTGCAAAGTCGTCGGTAGGCTCGTTTGAGTTAGTCGAAAATCCTGCGCCAGTGATTGTGAAGCGGTATAAGAACAGCAGGCATTCGCATTCAGTGCAGACTGTGCATGGAAGTTTGCCTGGCCCAGTGCTTCCTTTGCAAGGGGTGCCACGACCACCCAAGTCAGTGCCGGGGCCCCGTAGGCTCAGCGAGCCCAGTCGTAGGCCTTTCGTGCCCAGGGTTGCAGCGGCACCGCTGCATAATCCGGTTCCACGCCCGAGGTTTAGTCGTGTAGGCTGGGATTGTAGTCCTTTACCAAACCCGGTTCCCCTCAGGGCAGCTGATTATCACAGGCCTCGGCCCCTGGAGACATCCAATACATTGGCGATCAGTGCACCTTCCGCTGTCTTGCACAGGGAGCGGACCCCGGCCCCCAGGGGTTGTGCTAAGGCTAGTGTAGATTTTGGTTTGGGTGTCCGTTTTCCGGCTCAGTCGCATAATGCACCGGCTCTGGGTTTCAGTTCGATCAATGACGGTCATGCCAAGCAGTTTGAGCAGGGCAGGATCATCTGGGAAATGCTCAAGCCCCGGCTGCTCCCGATCTCAGATTGCCTTGCCGACTTGTCAGGTTCTTTTCACGGCGACGTGCTTGAGCACCGCATCCTTAGCAGTGTGGCGGACACAACTCTTGTGCGTTACCTCAGTGCTGTCAGGCATTTCATTGAAGCTTTGGAGTGCTTGGGGGTGCCGGTGTCGGATAAGGTCCGGCAAGTGGATGTTGCTGACGCTTTGCTGGTCATGCATAAAGGGGGCAGCCAAGTAGGCAACAGTCTTAAGGCAATCCGCTGGGCACGCAAGGCACTCGCTCTCCGCCTTCCGGACTTGTATTCAGGCATCATGTTGAACATCTCAGGTAAAATCGAGGCGGACCGCAAGGAAGCACTTCCGCTTCCCATGTTTGTCCTGGGACTTCTTGAAAGGAGCTTGATTTTGGCTGAGGGTTCTGTGCAGCATCGCTTATTCATAGGCGCGGTATTGGTCTGTTGTTGGAGCAGTCTTCGTCTCAGCGATGCTCAACACACCAAATGGACTTCGCTTCAGTCCGGATCCTGGTGCTTGCGTGGAGTGAACTTCCGCACTAAAGTTAGTCGTAGAGGGGTCCCTTTCGGTCTGATAACACAGGGCATTTATGGTTTCAAGCGCGAGTTCACACGCACTTGGGTGGCCAAGTATCTCTTTCTCTTGGGTGAGGAATGGGATGCAGTGGTCAATCGTTTTGGAGATGTGACGCCAGACTGTCTGTTCTTCAGAAGCACCGATTCGGAGTTTGCTCCCATGTCATACGGGGAAGTTCTGTCGGCTCTCCGTTGCACCTTGATTTCTCTCGGTTTGAGTGCTGAGGAAGCACGTGACTTCACTGTGCACAGCATGAAAGCATGTTTACTTGCTGTGATGGCACAGAGAGGCTTCCGAACCTCGCGCCGTGAAGCGCAAGGACACCACCAACCGTCGGGCCGGAGTGCCCGACTTTATTCACGGGACGATATCTGGCCGGCGCTAGAAGCTCAACGAGCCCTTGTGCAATCGCTTCGCTCGGGGTGGATGCCGAGTACGCCTCTGGGGCGTGGGGGACAACATCCTACCCCCCAACGACCTTTTGTTCATGTGAATGTCCCTAGCGAACCATCGCCCGTGCACCCCAGATTTCCGCTTTTGGATGTGTTTCCACCTGAGGTCTCTCATGAGGCGGTGCAGGTCGATAGGGAAGAGTCCCAGTCAGCAGGAAGCAGTGATATGCAGGCTCCTACGTTGGAGGCCGCTTTATCTTCATCCAGTGAGTCGGAGCAGGATGACGGCACTTCAGGTTCGGTCCGGCGTTCAAGTGGGGCCATCTCTGCCACTTTCCAGCCTGAGGAGTGCGATGAGTTCTTGTTCTTGCAGGGGGCATCAGGTACAGTCCATGTGGCAGCGCCTCAGGAAGGTGCATCGGGAACGGCAGCTCATGCTGAAGGGCACACTGCCCACCTTAGGCCACGGTGTGGAGCCTTGGCCAAGTCTTTTGCAGTTTTGACCACCGTGCCGGTAGGGGCACGCCTTTGCATGCACGTCGCATGCAGGCGAGTTTTGGAGCTTTAGAGGCTGTTTGGGCAGCACGCGAAAAAGCAAATCGCTATTGCATACTTGTAACACTGAAGCGCTTGAGAAATGCAGCATGCAAGATTGGAACTGAACATGTTTCGTGGCAGCCTTAACGGGCCCTCAGCTCGGCGGCGGGATCAAGCTGGACTTGACGAGCAGGCGGGGAAACTGCTTTCCATTCGTGTCAAGATTGGCCGGGAGTCGATCCGCACGTGTGTGCTCGCCGCGGCAATGCGGCGTTTAGGTTCGGTATGGGCTTGCCGATTTGCTGCTGGGTTTCAGTCGACTGCAATATGTGGGTCTGAAATCCAGGCTGTGGAAAGGGCTGCGCGTGGTTCGCGCAGCAGGTGTAGGCGCCAGTGCTGGCAGATCTTATCGCACGTGTGTGCCAGTCCGCCATCCAAGACGGTCGTGAAATGCGGAGGGCGACCCCCCCCCTAGTTGGCTTACCTTCAAGGCAAGTGCATGGCGATTGCAGCCAGTGGGATATGATACTACCGGGCATAAAAGTCCTTCGGAAACCTGGCGGCCGTGTGGCCAATCGCACGTGTGTGCAGCGGGCAAGGGCTACTGCTGCCGATCGTTCATCGATTGCAATTTCACCCTGTCTGTCTGCACCTCGCTTCAGGCTTCCATGGCTAACGTGGATGCGGCGCTTTTGGAGCTTGCCGTTGCATGCAGAGTTCCGCAGGAGTTCCACTTCGTGCTGGATGGTTATGACGTGCCGCTGTTTGGTTGCCTAGCAGCCTCACACTCGGAAGTGGATGCCTCAATCGAGGTACTGCTGGAAGGGGCCGCCTTGCCTGCGGAATCCACCGAGAAACTACGTCTTATGTCATCCTTCCGCCTGCTGTTTCAGAAGTGTCAGTCTGTGACAGCAACTGGTTCGAATGCGGGGAGCGCGGCCCAAGCAAGCATGACATCCAATGCAGCTTCATGGGTAGACTCTTTCCCGGCAAAATTGACAGGTGAGGAGGTGGTGAAACTCCGCCTTGAGTTCGAGGCTTCGTACCCAGGAGAGGTCTTGGATGCGGATAACACCCCAGGTCACCGGCTCTTAGCGTTGGCAGCAAAGCTTGTTAAACCAGGTGAGATGCGGTGGGTGGCTTGGAAACATCGGATGAGCAAATCCCAAAAATCCCGAGGTTGGAAGAGCTGGTGTACGACGAGATACCTTCAAGAGAGCTACCTCAAGGCCAAGTCGGCATGACCTTCCTGCAGGGCATCTTGGGTCTTTTGTGCATATCACTCGCTTTCGTTAAGGGGGCTCACCTTCAGAGCTTGCGGCTTTACGAGCGCAAGTTCATCCGCTTGGCCTGCCAGCGGCATGAGGCATCTTCAGGGCTCCGAAGCCCGAATATGGAGGAGCTTCAGGCGGCAGACAAGCACATTTGGGGCTTGATTGCAGATTTGGTCAATGTCCACAAGTGGAGCCTGAATGATGCACTGACGGAGGTAGTGCAAGTTCGCGGTGACTTGGCGGCCATGTTGCAGCCTCGCAGCCAAATCTTGAAGATCAACAGGCAGCATTTCAAAGGCAATGGCAAGGGGAAAGACTCCCCTGGTGGTAAGAACGGCAAGGGCAACAAGGGCAATGGCACCAACAGTCAACGCTGGATGCTTTCTTACACGGACTCCAAGGGTCAACGCAAACAATTGTGCCGTGGGTACAGTTCTCCAGACGGATGCAAGTTTGAGAACTGTAAATTCGAGCATCTCGGCCCGGTTCCCGGCCCAGATGGAAAGCCATGCCTAGGGAAGCATCCTGCTTTCCAACACCGCAAAATCTGAAGGTCACAGTCGGTGGCGGAACACTCCGATGTGCGGACTGGTCGATCCAGCGAATTTCCGTCGCCGACTTCAGCAGACTTTTCTTGGGAAGCTTGCTTGGCTATCCTGCAGAATCACTGTGTGGGTGATGCTCCTCTGTACCGAGATACAGTTCTTGCAGGTGCGCGATCTCGAGCACAATATTTCAATTTTGGGGCGAGAGCGGGCTCCAATGCGGGGCTTTGCAAAGGCACAGCAGAAAACGCAGAATTCGTTGAGTACCTGAACATTTTCCTTCGGCAGATTTTTCCAGACGGCACATGGTCCAGCTTCTGTGTCAGTCACAATGAGTTCGCTCACATCCACGTGGATAAGAACCTTCCGGGATCTTTGAATTATTCATTCAGTGTTGGGGCTTTCGAGAAAGGCGGTTTGTGGGTGGCTTTGCCGCCAGACGAACTTCCTCACCTTCCACGAGTGTCTCCGCCGGACACTTCTGCTGATGCCTCGCTGTTGGGTTGCATAGTTCAGACCAGGAGGTGTGGTTTTTCTTGGGACGGCCGCATTGCTCATTGTTCGGAGCCATGGGTCGGTGACAGATGGGTCGTGACGGCCTATACTTCTTGTACTTGGGGTTCAATGACGGAACCGGATCTTCGCTCTTTACGTGATCTGATGTTTCCGCTACCAGGCGACGCCATGGTGATCGACGAGGCGGAGTGTGGGTCTCGGGCTGCCAAAATTGATCAGGCACAGCTGGGGCTACCAGTTGCAATCATGCCTCCCGACCTTGATGCAATTCGAGGAAATCTTTTTCTGGAGATCTGTTCTGGGCCAAATCGGCCTCTGTCTGCTGCCCTCCTGGCGAAAGGTGTTTCAGTGCTCTCGATCGACATTCTTTTGCATGAAGTTCACAACTTGTTGAATGACTCCACTTATGACAGCCTCATGCGGCTATGCTACAGCGGACAGGTGAATCTGGCCCACGCTTCTCCACCTTGCACGGAGTACTCCAGGCTCAAGCTCCGGGCTGACCCACGGAGCGGAGCGCAGTAATGTTTATCCTGGTCTAGCGAAGCCAAAGGCGAAGCGAACTTGCAGCTTTTCGTTGTCATGTTTCCAAGACATTTTGGCTTTTTATTTTTCCATGTCTCACATGCAATGTTTTCCTCAGTGCGATTTTGAATCATGTCACGCCGGTGGTGATGCTCAAGCTGTGTTCGCTTAGCAAGAAAAATTTTTGAGACCTCCGCTAGGGGCTTGTAACGGCGTCCTAGCAAGTTCCAGGCCCTTTATCTCAAGGCTTTAGGGCGTCACGACCCCCCGCCCTGGTGCGGGGTGTCAGATGGACTTCGGCGACGCGCTCGCCGCAGGTTCGTCTCATCGTTCCGAGCAAAGCTCTGAGAGCACTCAGGAGATTTTGAGTCAGCATATCTACGAGCTCCAGCTGGAGGTCAACGAACTAAGGCTTCAGGTGCAAGCTCTCACAACCCAGGTGCAAGCACTAGAAGAGAGCCTCTCTCGCGTCTGGGTGAACCAGACGGGCCATCATCAGCGCCTGTCGTGGCTTGAGGGAATCATTCAGAGCCTGCGCTCTGCCTTCAGGTCGTTTCTCGAGCCGCCCTTGCACGAGTCTTAAGCTTCTTTTCCGGGGGATGAGTGCTGAAGCTTTTTATCCGGATGAGGGAGCCGATGAGGGGGCCGTCTCGCAGCCTGTTGAATCAGGTCAGCAGGTCCCTCTGTCTGAGGGGGCCGTCTCGCAGTCTGTTGAATCAGGTCCGCAGGTCCCTCTGTCTGCCATACCTGCCAGCCCAATATCTCCGAGTGCGGCTGTGTTCGAGGGCACACCTGATCAGGGTCCCTTAGCGGCCTTCATGAGCAGCCCCGTCGAGGGCGATGATCTTACTGAGGAACAGCTGGGGGGCTTGATGTCTCGCGAGGACACACAACTTCCCCCTGACGACGACCCGATTGCAGACCGTTTGGAACAGCAGCTTGCAGGCTTCATGGCCTACGGCGGCAGTGCAGGTGATTGGCATGCCATGAACTCAGGTTTCATTCTTGCAAGGCATTCCCGTCAGGCGATGCCGTGGGAAAGAGTGACGAGGCCCCGCTTGGGGCCCGGCTTCATGTTCCAGGAGCCGTTGCTAGGTCGCTTCGACGGCCTTAGGAGGGCGGCGATCCCCGCCCCTGCAGCAGGGCCGTGGGCATGGGTGCCCAAAGGAACTTACGAGGCCAGGCGACTTCTCGCAGCCAGGTTCGCCAAAAGCGATGACATGCTTAGGCTTACAGCACTGAAGAAAATTCGGCTCATCGTGCTTTTCTTCCCGGATGATTCGGAGCTTGGAAGGAACCTCGTGGGTTCTGCAGGCTCCCTGGTGGAGGAATCCATGCTGACCTCGACCATCGAGGACACTTTTTCAGGCAGAGCCGCCAGCACCCTCCTGAAGCGTGCTTCGGATTTCTCGAGGTTTGCCAAGTGGATCGTAGCTAGCAAAGGGCGCCCTCTGGCGCCTTCCGAGGGCGAGTTGTACGCTTATATGCTTCACTTGCGACGAGAGAAAGCAGGAGCCACTGCCGGCGAGTCTTTTCTCAAGGCCTACAAGTTCTTTGTGCACTTGACAGGGGCTGCGCAAGGCTCCAGGATTTCCCCGCGTGTGCAGGGAGCAGCCAAGGCGATGTCCATGGCCAAACGGCCGCTCTGGCAAGCACCGCCCCTACCGGCGGAGGCAGTGCGGCTCTTGGAAGAACTCGTCCACGACTCCGAGGATTATGCCAGGGCTAGCATAGCAGGGTTCATTCTTTTCTGCCTTTACTCCTCGGCCCGATGGTCGGATGCGGCTCGAGGGACTGACTTGAGCATTGACGTGGCAGGTAACGGGCTTGTCCTTCTTGAGTGTTCGACAAAACATTACAAGACGAAGGCCAAGGACCGAAAGGATACCGTGCTGCCTTTGATTGCACTGGGCAGTGGCTTAACTCAGCCCTCATGGGGACGTGTCTGGATGCGCAAGAGGGCCCTGGCAGGGCTACCAGACTGTGCCGTAATCATGCCGGCCATGTCGCCGGGAGGGAACTTTCTAGGAAGGGCCATGACGGCTGCGGAGGGTTCCTTGTGGCTTCGTGAGTTTTTGCACTTGCAGGGTTTCGCGGGGGATCTTGAACAGTACAGCTCGCACAGCCTGAAAGCAACCGCCTTGTCCTGGACGGCCAAGAGCGGGACCATGACCTACGAGGAGCGCCTTACCCAGGGGCATCATTGCAGTCCAAAGCACGGCATGGCTCTCCTGTACTCGAGAGATGCGCTTGCAGAAATCATAGTGAAGGTAGCCAAGGTCGTGAGTGCTGTGAGCCGGGGAGTGTTTAGTCCCGACCTCCCGCGAGCCGAGAGGGTCGCAAGAGCTCTGCATGGCGATCCAGCAGATTTTGCACATCTTCCTGAGACGACGGCTGAGGATTTGCCGGCCGAAGAGCCGCAAGATGAGAACAACTCCGAGGCTGGGTCCGACATAACAAACCTCGACGGCCTCGAAGTGGACCTGGGAGCACCGGCCCCGGAGGAGGTCCGTCCTCGGCTTAGCAGCACGTTCTCGGGAGAGACCTACATGCACGTCTTGAGTGGAGTGGTGCATAAGTTGGTCAACCCCGGAATTTTTAAGTGCGGCAGGAAGGTCACGGCAAACATGCGTTTGATGGGGCCCGAGGAGGCTCAGGAGAATGTCTGCCAGCAGTGCGCAGCTTGAAGAAAAGAGGATGTGCTCAGTTGATCGTTTGCTGATTTGCGACGTCGTGCCTATGCCATTTGAGATGAGGGTGCTCGGGCCGATTGAGATCAGTTAGAGTGTTTCTTGCTTCGAAGCACAAAACCGGACTGGGAAGTGTCCGCAGTCTTTTGGCTGGGAGTTGCCAAACTGGGGCGAATCTCCCGCGCGGCCTGGTGAGCACCCAAGCTTGAACTTAGCGGGAGTTTGATTGGGGGCTTTGAGATTGCAAGAACCCCCGTGGTCGGCTGCCTTTGCCGGCCTGAGTCATGAAAAATACTATTGGAACGCGACCGGCTGGGATCGCCGGTTCACGAAGGCCGCCTGTGATCGGTGGCGAAGAAGTGTGAATCCGAGACAAACTCGACCCACGGTTGACTTCGCCGTGGGTGAGACCTCGAAACCTGTATCCTCACCTGCCCAGGTCTCATGGCCGGACTTGAATCGGTGCCTGCCTTCACCGACCGAGCAAAGCAGATCGGCATCAGCGAGGACCTTCTGAAGAAGCTCCTTGCTAAGAGCTTGGACACCTTCGGCAAGCTAGCTTTCGTGTGCTCGAGCAAACCTTCCAGCGGGGATGACACTCCTCTCTTCGAAGCCCTGAAGACTCTGATCGGGAGTGAGGTTCCAGTGGAACAACATATGGTGATCAGGAGATTGTGGTACGAGAGCCACGCCCACGCCCTGGTTGACTTGGAATCGAGGGCTTCGAGAACAAGTGATACAAGCCCCCGCGAGCTTCCGTTGGCTGAACGCCTAACACGCTTGAAACGCCAAAGGGGCGAGCTTAAAGGCCTCGAGATGGATATCCACACAGAACCTGGACACGGCCTTGTGGACCGCGTCCAGGCCATGCTCGATTCTGCACAAGTGCTGCACATCGCGCCGGAGAAGTGCATTTCCCGCCATGACGAAATCCTGGGTGAGAAGACGGAACAAAAGATCTCTTTGGGAGCCGACGGGAACATCAAGGTCACGAAGCAAGCCTCGAGCCTCCGTTGCGAGACTACCGGCGAGCTCAAGCTTCGCCGGTGCTTCCTGCGCCGGGCCTTAGCGTTCGATCAAGTAGGGCTCGCCTCCTTCACTGCACTGGAGTCTTGGCACAACCGCATGTTCCAGGCTCTGCTTGATGTGCCTCCGGCAGGTTATCGCTACACTACCGTTCAGCAGCTGCTTGCAGCTGACCAGAAGCTTTGGCAGGTGGTGGCCCAGGAGAGCCGAGGTGACATCGTCGTCGGGGTCGGAGCCCCGGCTCCTCTTGACAAGCACATAGCCGCTGCTGCAACCAATCAGTTTGTCGTGTCATGCTTGACTCACCTGCCCAAGCCCTTGGAAGCTCCCGCTCCCACATGGCTGCCAAACAAGCCCGGTAAAGGACCCGGCAAGAAGGGGGATAAGGGAAACAAGGGCGGAGGCAAAGGCAAGGGCAAGCAAAACCATAGCCAATCCGGTGCGGAAGCCGCCCCGACAACCTCCTTGAAGGAGCTGCTCGAATCTCTGCCAGAGGGCTGTGTGCGTGCCACTGATGAAGGTCGCTTCATCTGCCCTTTCTACAATAAGGGCATCTGCCGATTCCAGAAGCGCAAGTCGTGCCGGTTCGGGAAGCATGTGTGCAATTTCAAAGGCTGTGGGGCTGAGAGGCCGTACATCGAGTGCAAACATTGACTATCCGCAGGCGAGGCAGCCAATGACAGTTCTCCAAATTTGTGTTCGGGGGCTTCAAGTGAGCCCGAAGTCTTTGCCAAACAACTTTTGCAGCAGAGTGAGCCCATATCAGCCTCGCAGGTGACCGCTTTGTTTGATGCGTTGCCACACGACCAGTGCGATCGGAGTGGTTCGGGTTTTTCCTTCTCTGCAGGACTCTACTCACGAGTCCAAGTGGGCCTCCGCAAGGCCTGCAAGCTGTTTCCACTTTCTGTGCAGGCGGTGAATAAGTTTGTAGCTCATTTGCTTGACGGCGCAGTTTACACGAGTTTTGCCATATTTTCCAGAGTACAGACCCGGGAGCACCGGGACAAGCAGAATTCCTTTTTGCCAAACATAGTGATTCCTTTGACTGCATTCACTGGGGGGGCCATCAAGGTCTTGGAACCCAACCGCGAGATCGACCTTGAGGTTTCGAAAGGACCGGTGCAATTTTGTGCTAGGCAGCACCCGCACTCAACTTGTCAAGCGCACGGGCGACGAACCGTGCTTGTGCTCTTTTCCCTTAAAGCAGCTTCGCATGCTTCTGCCGATGATCAGCTTTGCTTGAAACGTTTGGGCTTCCCTCTGCCCAATCCGCGACAGCTCAGCTCCGTCGAAGTCTGCAAGTCCGAGCCTATTTCCTTGGGTGAAGCGAAGCAGCGCCTCTTGCCGTTTCCAGCCAAACCTCAAACCGGCCGTGACCCGGGTGCCCTGGGAAAGCCGACTCACGAAAGTCGTCCGCCGTCCATGGTAGAGTGCTTGGCCTGTCGTGGTCCCTTAGCAGCAGAGGCCCTCCTCACCGGATGGGACGCGATTCCGGTAGGTAAAGGCCCTCACGATCCCCACGGCTCGCCTATGTTGCATTTGGACCTCTCTGAGGAGGAAAACGTGCAGGCACTTCTCCGATTTGATTCGTCGGCAGCTGTTGATTGGTGGCACGGGCACCTCTTCCTCAAATCCTGTGCTCGGTTGGATCGGGGATCTTCCAAACAACCTTTGCGGAGAGCTGACTGCATTTTCGGTTGCCCTAAACTTGCCCCTCGAGCCCAGGACCTGGTGCACCGTGACAACAAGGTTTGCAGGGCCCTTGTTTCAGCCTTGCAACGAGCTCATCAAACCGGAGCCCTCGTCTCACTCATCGGGCCTGCCAGGAGCTGGGTTTGGAGCCTCCTAGCGAGCACTGTGAAATCCACCCAATCGAAAGACTTCATTGACTGGTTCTTCACCCTGGAAGACCAGGAGCTTGACACTTGCATGTTCGGTTCGCCTTTTCTTACCTCACTCAAGGTCAAAGCCACGCCCGGAGCTTTCCCGCAGATCTCTGCTACGTGTGACAAATCACATAAGCATCAAGCTTGGCTGCCTTCGCCGGCCGGTGGCACCTTCAACGATGCTTCCCTGCCCCATGGTTTGTGCCAACGCCTGTGCGAGTGTGCCACCAAGCTCGTCACCGGATCAACTAAGCACCGTGCAGCAGGCCGCTGCCGTCAGCTCCGGGCTGCTGTCAGGGCCGCCGCGGCCAATCAGTCTCATTTCACGCCACCCCTAATTCCTGAGTTTCGGGTGGTAACCCCTTTGTCCCAAGTGCCTTCGAATGCTGATTTCAAGATCTTGGACAAAGTCGGCTCGACACCGGGGGAATTGGATGAGCCGGATAAGCGGTTTAGGCTTAATGGTTCTCCCCCTAAGTCCTCGGCTCCCCGAGTAGGTGCAGTGGCTGGTGTTTACCACACCATGGAAGAGCACCTTCGTCTTGCCTCAAATTTGTGCAGTCCAGCTGATACAAGCGAGAGGCTGCCAGATCAGATCAGGCGGAACATTTTCGCCATGCTGACCGAAGGACCCGTGGCGATCTCAAAGAAAAGGCTTCTCGCTCTTCAGCAGCTGAACCGAAGAGTGCAGGAGCTTGCAGATGAAGAAAGAACGCTTCGCGAGAGCATGCACCCCGATGTAGAATCCGTGACCAGGGCGAAAGCGATCTCCTTGTTCAGGGAACTGCTTGAGGAAACCGCCTTTGCAGACATGTCCGTAATCGATTTGCTTGTGAAAGGCGTGCCACTTGTGGGCCAAGAGCAAGACTCGGCCCTTTTTGCCAAACGGCCGAAGCCGCAGGAGATCAGCCCGGACCAACTGCGGGCCCAGTCAGCTCTCAGGAGGGACGTTCTACAGCGCACGCGAAAACTCGTCTCTCAGGAGGACTACGCCGCCATGCGGGCGGAAACGGACGAAGAGGTCAAAGCTGGTTTCCTGAGTGGACCGTACTCTTCCGAGTCCGAGGTCAGTAAAGTGCTGGGGGCCACAAACTGGTCTCTTTCGCCCCGCTTCCTCCTGAGGCAGGGAGAGGACGCAAAGATTAGGATAATAGATGACTTCAAAATGTCAGCTGTTAACCGTGCCTTCGGATCTTCATCGTTCCTCGAGTTGCAGGACACGGACTTCGCAGTGGGTTTGCTTAGATTCCTTTCGAGGGTTCTTCAGGATCGCTCCCGAGTAAGGGTGCCTCTGCTTGATGGCTCGGTCTTGGAAGGCAACTGGGCGCCTGAGATGCTGTCGGCCCCTCCCCTGTTGGGCAAGACGCTGGATTTGAGCAAGGCCTATCGTCAACTGGCAATCCACCCTGACTGCAAGGAGTTCTCAGTGCTGGGTTTCCCTACGCCCGCTGGTGGCTGGGAGTACTACATCACGAGGAGCCTCCCGTTTGGGGCCGGCGCGAGCGTCTTCGGGTTTAATAAGGTTGCCCTAGGGGTTCTGCACATCATGACAGTGAAGTTCATGGCAATCGCCACGGACTTTTACGATGATTACACCATCTACGAGTTTAAGCCTGCTGCTTCCTTGCTGGATAAAGCCCTCATGCGGCTGCTGGACATCCTGGGCTGGACCTTCGCGCGCTCCGGGCGCAAGTTTGTGCCTTTTGCCGAAAAGGTAACTTCCTTAGGTGTAACCTTGGGGCTTGAGGAAATTTGGCAAGGAACCTTGACTGTGGAGAACAAGGCGGGCAGACTTGAGCGCATCGTTCAGCAGCTGAAGCGGATTTCGCAAGGAGACGAGATCACCCGATCAGATGTGGCTTCCCTACACGGCCTGCTCAACTTTGCCGGGGGTTTGATCTTAGGGTTCGAGCTTAAGGCCACCTCGCGTATGCTGTCGCGAGCCCTGACAGGCCCATTCCGAGGCAACACAACAGAGTTGCAGCATGCTTGTGCGTTGGCCTTGGACGTGTTGTCGCAATGTCGCCCCAAGCGGTGCCCTGCATCGGTGAAGCCACCCATCATCCTGTACACCGATGGGGCATACGAGAAAGGCGTTGGGACTTGGGGTGCCGTCATTGTAGATGGGGTCACCGGAGCTCGGTGGACCTTTGGCGGGACCGTCTGCCAGCAGCTCAAAGACCTCTGGGAGCGGCAGGCCGGAAATCAGATCATTTGCCAAGTTGAGGGTTACGCTCTTGCAATTTTGATCTTCGGTCTTAGGGGTTTCTTGAAAGGCAGGTCGGTCATAGCCTTCATCGACAACGAAGCATGCAGATTTGGCTTCATCAAGCGGTACTCGCCATCCTTGAGCCTTCTTCGCTTAATCTCGTTGGTGGCGCTGTTGGAGGGGTCTCTCGAGGCCCTACTTTGGTTCGAGCGAGTGCCCTCAAAGAGTAACCCTGCCGATCTCCCGTCACGGGGAGCTTTCGAAGAGGCTTGCAAACGCTTCGCAGTTGAGAACAAAGGTGACATCGCATTGACCCCTACGATGCTTGATTTCCTTTGTGCTGCTGACTACAGTGCTCATACGGCTCAGGCAATCTTGACCTCCACGCGACTGGAGGCTGACTGGACATGCTCAGCTTTGCAATGAACCAGGGCCAGTGCAGCTCAGCTCGCGGGACGGGGGAGATGGTTGCTCGTGGATGGCTGCACTTGCCATCGGGGCTGATCTCGCCCTATTGTGCCATCGGACCCGGTGTTTTACCCCCGCTGAAGTCTTAGGAAGAAAAAGAGTGGTCCGAGTGATTGCAAGCTTGATTCACATGTCCGAAGATTTCTCAGATTATGATTGCGAATAAATTTTTATTGATCGCGATATCTTTGATTATCCCAAATACCTATTTTGGGAAATACAACCTGCAAGGAGACCAGAGAAACGACCCACGGAGCGGAGCGCAGTAATGTTTATCCTGGTCTAGCGAAGCCAAAGGCGAAGCGAACTTGCAGCTTTTCGTTGTCATGTTTCCAAGACATTTTGGCTTTTTATTTTCAATGTCTCACATGCAATGTTTTCCTCAGTGCGATTTTGAATCATGTCACGCCGGTGGTGATGCTCAAGCTGTGTTCGCTTAGCAAGAAAATTTTTGACCTCCCACCCACCCGGCATTGGTTCAATACGGTCTTTGTTAAACTGGGGGAGATGGTTGCTCGTGGATGGCTGCACTTGCCATCGGGGCTGATCTCGCCCTATTGTGCCATCGGACCCGGTGTTTTACCCCCGCTGAAGTCTTAGGAAGAAAAAGAGTGGTCCGAGTGATTGCAAGCTTGATTCACATGTCCGAAGATTTCTCAGATTATGATTGCGAATAAACTTTTCTTGATCGCGATATCTTTGATTATCCCAAATACCTATTTTGGGAAATACAACCTGCAAGGAGACCAGAGAAACGATGGTGGCCCCAGGGCGCTTCGCACTCCAGAACACATGTCTGGCGTTCCTGATTTACAATCAATTTGCTGCTGGCAACATACTGCGCTGGAGGGCATGTTAGTCTGGAAAACCCTTTGAACAGCATGGCATGGTTGGAGCAGGAAGTCCGCGAATTTCTGCAACACATCAACGCGGACCTGAACTGTGTGGCTGCTTGTGGATATGGTATGGATGTCCTGAAGCAGTGGTGTTTCGCATGCAGTTTTCGAGACCTCCAGCAGATTGCATGTTGTTGTCAACACGATCCTCAGTCGCATGCACAGGTGGCAGGGATTGTCGACAAAGACGGCGTTTACGCTTCCAGAGCCACTTCGGAGTTTCCGGCACAGCTCGCGCAAGCCTATGCAGAAGCTGTTCTTCCTTTGTTCGAGACTTCGAGCAAGCCGTACACCATTTCTCTTGAACAGGTTAGGTTTCTTCGAACCCACAAAACCAAGGAGGAACTTCCCCGAAGCACACAGGACGGAGGTGGGATCTACTCAATGCCGGATTGGAGTTTTCCTCCAAGCGGCTGCAAGGACCTCCTAGGGGGAGTGCGTAAGCAGCTTGTGGAGTACCTTTTCCACATCAGGGCCCCTTTGCGATTGCGCGCCCATGTGGAGTCCGAAAGCGAACTCCCGCTGTTCACAGAGACTGAGGTTCGGCAGTTCAGGGAGATCTGGCAGCAATGGTTCATGCAACAGGGTGTGCAATCAATTGATTGGAGCGTGGCTGAACATCAACCTTACTCGCTGCTGGCCTTACAAAGCCTCTCTCGAGCCTTGCAAGACAGGGATGATGAACTCTTTCCAGCATTGATTGCGGGTGTTCCCACGGGTTTCTTCTCGGATATCCCGCCCAGTCACGTTTTCATTCCGAAGCACAAGGATGACTCTTCCGAAGCCCCGGCGGAGCTTGTGATCTGTGATCGCAACTGGAAGGGGGCCAGAGAAAATCCTAAAATACTTTCGGAATTGATTGATAAGGAGATTTCAGAGGGTTTTCTTGAAGAGCTTGATCTTGCTTCAGCTCAGCAGCGCTGGGAGAACATCGCAGTTGCCAAGCTCAACGTGGTTTTGGCGGACAATCGCAAGCCGCGCTTAATCATGGATGGGACGGTTTCTGGGGTCAACTCCTCTTGCTTCTTGAATGAGCGTTACTGTCTGCCCTCGCTTAAAGACGTACGCTCGGCCTTTCCACTTCGCATGAACAACGAGGACTTGTCAGCTTTCAGCTTGGACATTCGCGCGGCTCACAAAACGATCCGCATTCGGGAGAAGGACCGTGGATTGGCGGGGATCAAGCTTGAGGACGGTCGACACCTGTGGTACCGAGTTTGCCCATTCGGCACAGGTTTCAGTGCTCTGTGGTGGGCACGATTGTCTGCTTTCATGATCCGAACTTTTCATCTCTTGATTTGGTTGTGTCACGCTTTAGGCATCTTTGTCGACGACCTATTGCTGTGGCAAAGGCGACAAAGCAATCGAGATTTCAGGCTGCCTCATCCTCAGCTTTTGCCAAGCTTACAATGTGCCACTATCGTGGCACAAACTGCAGTGCGGGTACAGAGTGAAGTGGATAGGATGGCTATTCAATTTCAGATCAGGGACTTTCAGTCTGCCAACCGACAAGATTGAGAAGATTCTTCGTTCAGTGCGGGTCGTTCTGCGGCCAGGCAACGTGGATCGCGGCGATCTTGAAAAAACGGTGGGTTTGCTTCAGTGGGTGAGCCAGATTTCTCCTGAACTCCGCCCCTGGATGGCATTCTTGTATTCGGATCTGCATAGACCGGTGGCCACAAACCATCATGTGGATTCTGGCGAGTGGCACTTGCTGCATGAGTACTTGGATGATAACCTGCGGTTCACCAGCCAACCTCCAGGCACAGCTATTCCACGAGGTGCTCGTCTTTTGTCTGCCAGGCACATTGAGCTGCACTCCAAGCAGGACTTGAACAAAGTTCCTCTGACTTCACGTCGGATATATATGCGTATCTCTGATCCCAAACATCCCAAGCGCAAGCTTTCGGAATGCAGCCGCAAGTTCATGGAATTTTGGGAATCGTGGTGCATGCGCAGCCCCTTGGAACAGTGCCTGCACCTTCCTCCACGGAGCATTGCCTGTACCTTGGCAGCGGATGCTTGTGCTCAGGGTTCCTCTATAGGGATAGGTGGTTTTCTTCGTGTTGAGGGCTCACCCGTCTTGTGGTTCAGCGAACGATTTGAGAAGTCGGATTTCGATGACTTGAACATCCCTCTCGACAACAACACTCAGAAGAATATTGGATGCTGGGAGCTCCTGGCTCAAATTGCTCTGGCGCTTCTTTTTGCAGACACTTGCCCGGGCGGACGATGCAGGCTTCAGCTGCGTACTTTCTGCGACAATGCCTCTGCACAGGCATCGGCAAATCGTTTGATGACTACGTCATCCCCGCTCTGCTTTTTCGCTCAGCAACTGGCTTTTGTCGCTTTTGGACACGGGATTGCCCTGGACGTGCGCCACATTTCGGGCTTCCGCAACGAGGAGGCAGATTACCTGTCCCGCTGGAACGGCACGGACCTTCTGTTGCCCGAGTTCGCTGAAACCTTTCGCTATCGCTACCCAGTCAAGCGCATGTGGCAGTCTGACCATGATGTGAGGGTGTTCCCGAAGGGCACTCGGCTCCTGTGGAGTCCTCCGTGAAGGCAGCCATTCAGTCGTAGCACGATTTCAATTGGGGCTTTTGTCCCAGCGCTCCTCCTTCTTTGGCTGTGGCAGTTCTTAAGGGGGGATGCATCTTGATAAGTCCGATACTTCGGTATCTTACTTACTCGAGTGCTTTCCACCACAGCCAAAAGAAGGAGGGGTCCGAGTGCAGTCTCTGTAGTTCGTTCGCGAGACCGGATGAATATTTCATAAATTCATACTTTATATATTATTGATTCTGGAATACATAACCTCGGTTTTTCCCTTATGATATTTGAAAGCTTTGCTTACCGAATATCTGGTCCATTTCCATCGTGGTGTGCCGACGGCTGTTGTGAAATATAAAACGATCCTTGTGCTTGCTCAAGCTTGTTTTTATGGAACAACAACGCGGTTTTTATGCAACTCCCTTTGCTTGCGGTTGACACCCCTTTCACAACAGCTGTCGGCCCAATGAGCAACATGTCGAAGCACATGTTTTCGCAAAGACCCCGCCCTCCCACCCATGAGCAGTGTGTGCTCATGTGGTCTTTGTTGCATGCGTGGTACTCTTTCTCTTTCGCGCCTGCCAGGCATACCTGTGTGTGCGCCATTATTTTCTCCAGGCTTCACGTGTGTGAGGCGGTTGCACTGCTGCGGCAGTCTCTTACAACCATTGAGGTGGTGAGTCAACTAGTCACTACGAAGGCTCTTCGAGCCCAGGTTCTGGTGCTCACGAGTTCTCTTGGCGGGAGCTTGTGTCTCACTGGACATGCTTTTCCAGTGATGCATCAGGATGCTATCCTCCCTTCCTGGATATAGTTTGGTGTTTACGTTTCTGTACTTGTGTGGCTACACCGCTGTTTAAAACGAAGGGGGGATGCATCTTGATAAGTCCGATACTTCGGTATCTTACTTACTCGAGTGCTTTCCACCACAGCCAAAAGAAGGAGGGGTCCGAGTGCAGTCTCTGTAGTTCGTTCGCGAGACCGGATGAATATTTCATAAATTCATACTTTATATATTATTGATTCTGGAATACATAACCTCGGTTTTTCCCTTATGATATTTGAAAGCTTTGCTTACCGAATATCTGGTCCATTTCCATCGTGGTGTGCCGACGGCTGTTGTGAAATATAAAACATCATATTTCAGCCGAAGAGTATTTGCCGCGTGGACAGACTTCCATTATGGACACACCTGTCACAGCGGAAGAGACTGAACGTGCTGCCAAAGCTAAGGCCGGCCCGAGGACCCGAGAACGAAGTGAAAAGGCACGGAGGCTGGAACGCCAACTCCTATCACGACTACATCGTCGCAAAGGGCAGGAACAAGGGCAAAGACAAGGGGAAGCAAAGGGCCCCAAATCAAGATGACAACCTCAGGCCTTGGGAGCGCGATCCTGCGTCAACTCGCAGGTGGTTGCAACACAACTCGTGATCGGCAACATCGTTCAGTACGTGACCTCTCTGCTTCGCTCATGAATTTCATTGCGACTGCCTCTTTCTTCGGTGACGCCTGATTCGTTTGTCATTTCAGGGGATCGTCATTGACGTAGATGAGTGTCACACCATTTCTAATTGGGATGCAAGGCTCTGGTTCCATATTTCAAAGTTGCGGCGGACTAATCCCTAGTGTTCCTATCGCGCCATCTTCCGGGTGAGCAGCGTCGGAGACGCAACTCATGGGGGGTGCGAACGGACTGCGATGCCTATAGTCAAGTTCTATGGTGTCACGATAAGAGCTGTGAGCGTGGGTCAAGAGTGGAGGCACGCTACGCGTCCTCCATCTCTAGGTGTAGGCTTCTGGGAGTGCTACGCGCACCGCAATGCCGAACCATGTTACCATATTGCCGCCCATGCAACTTTGGCTCAAGAATGAGCACAAGCTCTAGAAAGCATTGCCAATAGCTAAATAGCATTCGTCTTCTGTGACCTTTCCGAGGGACAGAGCCATCCCGAGCACAGACGATCCATCGCTGGCCGCGAAGGTGCAAAACAAGCGAGCTCTGGATCTGCCTGCACTGGGAGTGAAGCTTACGTGTGGAAGTGAGGGAGAAAGTGATCGAGTCTGTAGAGGGCAACCACATCATTATCCAACATAGCTCGGTGGGGTGAGCGACAAAGAACATCATCAAGATCAAATCCCCACGCATCAACCCTACTTTTCGACACACCCTGAGCCATGACATCCAAGAACGATCCGCCCTTAAGCAACGCATCGACAACTCCCGCAGGAGGTTGCCACGGCTCTTCAAGCTCACAAGCGAACAGTGTAGCCTCTAGGCTCGCTTCGTGTCTCGAAGGCAGGTCCGCTGGATTGCTCTTAGATGGAATTCGGGTAGTCCACATTGACAATCGGTCCGAGTCCAAGCATCGTGCAATCAAGGCCAGCATGGCAAACACATCCGCCACTTTGGAGCTGCCCTTACCCTGACCCTGCTGTTTACCTAATTTTAGGTGGCGAGCAATTTACTAAACAAAGCTTGGTTTACACTTCAAATTTACGAAAAAATTTACGTAAAAAAAAAGTGTAAATTAATTTACTTTGTATAGTAAAAAATTTACACTGCAATGTAAATTTTTTTACACTGCAAAATACATGTTTTTAGGTTACACATTCCCGAATTTGAAGAAGTGAAATGCAAGCTAATTTTGGTTGGTTTTGTTTCTTTTATCATGGTTCTGCTTGTTGATTGCATGAGATTTTCCTGCGACTGTACAGTGCGGCATGGTCAGGTGTGAAGATAAAATTATGAGAATTGTGTTGCAAGCATACTTGTTAAGCCATGGTTTTCCATGTTGAAATCGCAGCTCGGTTTGATTCTGTGCTGGGTCGAGCCGGCGGATTGCTTGCGATGTGTGCTTTTTACATGCGAGAAATCGGTACATGTACATTTGCGAGAGTCATCACAATATAGTTTATACCTGCGAGGAGTCCACCTTTACCTGTGCGAGACTCTTGTAGGTTACATGCGAGAGATCTACTTATATATATATATATATACTTTTCTGAGATCCGAGAGTGAGAAAAATTTTCGGACGTTGCAGCTGTGTGTTTGGTCCAGACGAGACCCAGAGGTAAGTGCGAGGCTGGATGGAGACAGAGACAAATGCATTCCATTTTTTTGAGAAATCATAAATCCTATACATACACAGTATATACAGTCTTGCGAGCATGGCTTCCTTAGCAGCTGCAGCTTCGGTCAAGCTGGCGGACGGCGCTTCCGCTGCAACGGGCAAAAATGCCAAGGACCGAGTGGTTGCCGATCCGCTTATTACAGCAAAGGAGCTGGCGGATGTGGTGTTTGGCTTTCTCGAGTTCAAGAAGACGAAGGACCTGTGGCCTTTACTGTGCCCCCCTCCGGGCGGGCCAATAAGCTACACTTGGCACACTGCCGCCCACGGTCCGTGGTTGGCAAAGACAGCTGGGCTGCTGTTTGACCTTCTTCGCCTCGCCCCGAACACGAAGTTGTTGTCGCAGCGGGTTACCCGAAGCTTTTGGATCCTTCACGAGCAAAAGAACCTGCTGCTCGAAGGCCACAAAGACTACAAGGCAGAGGACCTTGTGGACAAGATGGACACCGCCATCCGTCTTCTTCTTAGCCACCTCCGTGCGATGAAGCAGAAGGAGAGCTTCAAGCGGAAAGTCTACAGGTCCCTGTCGCACGAGGATCAAGTGTGCAGTGGCTGCACATATATGTTTTTCGTGTTTTTTCGCTGTATATATAATTCGTGTGACGGAACAAAGAAGTGTTGCAAACTTTTTTTTACCTATAAGTCTGTGGAAACATACAATCAGGAAGCTTGACCTTTGCCTGGAAAGGGTGCAGGTGCAGGAGTTTGCCCCGAAGCCTCTTGATTCCCCCAGCACGGCCCTTGTTCCCGTGAACGAGGATGAGAAGCCTGTTCCTTTTCGTGGTGACGAGAAGCTTACTCCTTTGCAGGATGTTGAGTTCCCGGAGTTGCCGGAAATCTTTAAGAACAGCAGCCCGACCAAGTTTCCGGACACCTTGAAGAGCAGCGAGCCGAAGAAGTTTGCGGAGAAGTTTGTGCACATCCATAAGAGCAGCAAGCCGAAGAAGATCGTTATGAAGAAGGGCACCCTGAAGAAGAAGGCCACAAAGGCAAAGAACAAAAAGGCAGGAAAGGCAAAGATCAAGACTGGTGCCGGGGCTGAGCCGGCCAAGGATGTGGAAGTGATCTCTTCCACGGATGAGTGCGACTTGGACATCCTCAAAAATGCCATGGCTTTCATGCCGCCGGTGTCTGTGGCTGTGGCCAAAAAGAAGGGTGCTTCGAAGCCCAAAGCCACCGGCAAGCCGAAAGAGAAGAGCCCCAAGCCCAAAGCCACAGCGAAGGCGAAGTCGGCGGCGAAGACGAAGGTGGCGAAGCTGGCGGCGAAGCCGAAGCCGGCGGCGGCGACTTCGCCGTCTAACAAATGGCTGTCCGCCGAAAAGTACGGATCTTGCAAGGTAGAGTTCTACTCTGAGAAATCCTACATCCGCAACTACGATAACGGCGGCAAGCTGAGGAGCATCATTTCCAGTTGCTGTCCGAAGCATCATGAGGTGATCGAGAAGATGATTCCCTACGTCGAGCAGGGCATCCCGCTCTTGGAGCTCTACAAGCTGCGAAAGGACGTCATGAAGTCGCTGGGGGTTTGAAAACCAAAATGTGTTCAGTGCGGGATGTGATGTGCACCCTGGGTTTTCTGAACTTTGTAGACTATATAACAATCTGAGTTTCAAGCATATATATGTTGTATATAAACGTGGTTTGTTTTCCCACAAATCTGAGAAAACCCATGGGTGCTAGTCACGGTGTGTTTCTATATGTCTTTCGTTTACATGTAGAGCACTACATCTGCCACAATGCCATTTAGCATAATGCATCTTTGGCCCTTTTAGTGAGAAGCACAAAAAGGGTGAACCTTCCGGCAGCAGAGGGGCAATGACTGCGAGAAAAAATGTTTCTTGCATTTGTGTGTGTGTGTGAGGTTGAGTGCTTCCTGTTCTG